TTAGTAGTTTAAAATTCTTTTGGCCTGTTTTGTAAGGAGTGGGAAATTAACATTGCTGTGTTATATTAATCAACATTCAACTAGGGAGGATATTATTGTATGTGTATATTTGTTAGTCTTTTTTTGAGTACAATGGATAGAAATTAACAAGAGAGTGCTCTGATATGCCCATCCTGCATTTATTTCTTCCGTGGTTTGATACTCTTCATTCTGTTCATGTTTACACTTCTTTTTTTTTTTTACTCTTCTATCCACATATCAAAATGCCATTTCTCAAAATCTGTTTAACTCCATCTTCTGCTTCCTTGCAGTTATGCCCTGCAGTTTTTTCTTAAATGATACATTGAGAATCAAACCACAGTGTCTTACTTCTTGCTCCTGGAATTCTCAAAAAATCGACATCTGCAACTTTTGCATTTCTTCTTCTTCTTTATGTTATATCTGGCAACTGTAACAGCAAATCTTCTCATCATCTCTGCAGTAGCTTTTGACCATCGATGGCACAGCCCCATGTACTTCTTTCTCATAAATCTGGCTCTGTAGGACCTAGGGCATCCCCAAATCCATGATAAATTCTCTCATGGACACTAGACACATCTCTTACATCACATATCAAAATGACATATTCTTCAAGAATCTTTCTAATGCCTGCTCCATCTGGAGATGTCAGAATTCTGATATGGGAATCAAAAGTCTGAGACTTACACAGAGAACAAGAGATTTGGAGTTATGTAAAAATTCCCCAATTCCTTTATTCAAACAAGCAAGAGGGAAAAACAAGATAGTTAGCTCAAATGAGCTCAGATGACCATTGACACTTTTTTAAAATGGAGAAATCAAAATATTTCACTAAATTCCTCAAAATATCATGTTCATTTGTATTGGTACTACTCTGCTTCAGAGTTATAGCATATGATAACCCATGCCGTAACACAGAGTCTTATTCTGTTTGAGGAGATGTGAGCTTTTTGAGGTAAGTCAGTCAAGAAATCAACTCCTTGAGTTTCCTGGAAATGGACTTTTATAGTCATGAAAGACTGATTATATTTTCCTTTCCCTCCTTTTTATACAGAAGTGAGTTAGCTTGGAGACAGTTTGATTTTTTTAAAGCTTTGCTCATTTCCTTGGTGCCAAAATAGACCATTTTTGACATTGTTGCTGCATAGCTTTTCAATTGATTTCAGGCATCATATCAAGACATGCTTTCTTTAAGCATGGTTTGTAAAATAGAAGGAAGATAAAGTTTCAATCTAAAGTGGCAACAAGAAAAAAATGAGTGTGACCAGAACCAATAAAAACTGAAAGAGTTGGAAAACTCTTGAGATAATCAAGACTTCTGGGAAAGAAAATCTATGTGTCCAAAAAAAGGAGACTTGCAGTGCCGTGAAAGGCCATCTCCTATTCTTTTCGCATATCAGTGTAAGATATCAGTGCATTTGTAAAAGAATTGAGTGTGGCATCAAAATACTGATGTACTGACTTTATCAATGTGACCACCCTTGCTCCCACATAATAACAGCATAGCTTTTCTTTCTACTGAGGATAATAATTTCTAGAGATATTCTTAATGTGTATATTTCTTAAATATTTTTGTAAATAGATTTTATAACTTTGGAAATATTCTTTACTTGAATAAAATATGCTAAAGTATGAAAAATGTTGCAATCTGTGTCTTGATGTTTTGTCAGATAGGGTGTGGATGGGTTCTTTTTACTCTCAAGATTATGAACTAAAAATAGGGCAATGGATTTTTTATATGTATTTTCTAGACTTACTTTGGTATTTTTTCCTAGAAGCACAAAGCATGATACATAACATATCAATCAATTTTCCAACACAATCACAATCCTGTATGAGTTGGAAGAGGTTGTAACTGGTCCAAATGTTCCCAATAATCTGAAATCTTAGGCAAACCTAGGCAATTTCAGGAGATAAAATTGTCCAAACTGGAAATAGAAAAGAAGGGAAAATCTGAGGTCGGTGGTTAGTTCTTGAGTACAAATGGATAGTAATTAATAAGTGAATACTATAATATGCCCGTCCTTGCAATAGTTTTTCCATAGTCTGTTTTTCTCTTCATTCTGTTCATGCTTTACACTTTTTGTTTATTGTTCTCACTACATATCAAAATGCCAATTTCCTAATTTTATCCACCTTCATCTCCTTTCTCTTTTCCTTAGAGTTATGCCCTGCCACTTTGTCCTAATGTTTGCTAATTTTGTCCTAATTTTTGCTCCTGGAATTCCTAAAAAATTGGCCTATCCAGCTTTTACATCTTTTCTTGTTCTTTGTGTTTTATCTGATAACAGTAACAAATCTTTTCATCATCACTGCAGTAGCTTTTGATCATCAACTATGAATTTCTTTCTAATGAATTTGGGTCTATAGAAACTGGGCATTATTTCACCAATTGTCCCCAAATCCATGATAAACTCTCTCATGGACAACAGAAAGCATCTCTTACTTTGGTTGTGTTGCTCAAATCTTTCTTTTTCGATCCTTTGGGGAATCTAATTTCTCCCTCCCCTCTATCATGGAATATGATTGATATGTTGCAATTTGCCATCCACTGCACTATGAGATGACGATGAATTGGAAAGTCTGCCCTGAAATATTGACTCTGGTGTGGATAACAAATCTCCTCTACAGAATGTGGCATACCATTGGGACCTTTTTCATCTTTTTTTTGTTCTAGTGTGGTCAACCAATTCTTGTGTGAAATTCCACAATTACGGTACTAAAATTATCCTGCTCTGCCTTCAATCTACTTGAGGTTGGAGTTATTGTGACCAGTATCACTGCTGGACAAAGTTTTCTACTTATATTATTGTTGATTTCAATTATCACTACTTTCCTTCAAAGTTATGGCATATGTTTTTTGGGACTCCTACACTAATGTCATTGATTTTTATAGTTTTATTGTGGTTGTGTAACTATTGGCATTCCACTAAGTTTATATGGGTTTCCTGACCTTTTTTTCTGCCTTTTCTTTTATAATTTGCAGAATTATTTTCCACCTCTGCATTAATAATGTGGGCATTCCTAGCCAAGGTCAAGTTCTTCCCCTACATATGGCATACAGAAATAGAGGTTGGGATTTTTTAAAAGCTGGAACTGAAAGAGAATCTCAAATGTTGAATTATGTGCAAGGAGGTCTTCTCATTTGATTCATGATTTCCCTCTCACAATTCACACTGCAGCCCCCCATTCTGTTAACAATCTGAAATATTGTTATTCTATGGGATAGTGATAACTGGTCCTGGAGGAAGCTGTTGTGTTCTTAATGTCCAATTATGTTAATAAGCACAGAAGAGTCAGTTTCATTTTGGTATACAAGTCTCTTGAGAGAAACAAAACAAAGATTAATAAACAGAAATTTCTATGACTGCAGATAGATAAAATTTTCAATACATGAAAAATAGTGAGACAGCATTTACTTAGTGGTAAGATATCTAACAGTCTTAAAGGCACGGAATATATCATCTATATAGAGACAAATTGTCAGTTATAAATGGAAAGTTTAACAAAAAGGGTATTTCCCACTTTTTCTGGCACAAATTGGGGTTTATTTCAGTATGTTTTATATGTTATATTTCCGGGCTGGTTTTGTAACTTGTCTGCTGGAAAAGAATTTAAGTGAAAAATTGCATGAGGCAGTTTTCTACTATAATGGAATAAGAAGTTAGGCAATTTGGGGGGAGAAAATAAAGGTTTCTTTATGGTATTTTTTTCAAAAATTGGAACTTAGGCAATATATTTAAAGTTACTATTAAGCAGAATATCATTTGGAGAGATTTTTATGCAGACTTTAAATAATGAATAAATTACATATTTAACATTGGTACCTTTTCCACATGATTATTATAAAGAATAAAAAACAAATTATAATTTGCAGAAATTTGGACCAAACCTTCATGCATGAAGTGATCACTAATTGGTGAATTAGCATTGGCAAAGTTATCTCATAATCTATCTGTATATGAATAAAAGAACTGTATAGCAAGATACCTAAATTTCTTTTTATGTCTGTTTTTAAACTAGTTAAGTATTATTGTTGAAAATGTGCTCACATGTCATTTGTCATTACCTACCCAAACTCTACTGCAGACATTATTGGTTTGTATTGGATGGGAGACTGCCTTTTCAAAATTAGTTTTCATTTCCTTGTGAATATTGGATAAGAGGATTTATTAATTTATTTGCTAAAGTTTGATGTCTTTTGATTAAATATATTTAACAATAGCATAATTGTGCTTTATGACCAAGTGAATGTCAAAATAGCACATATTGTAACTAAAATTCTTTCATTTTCTATTTAATAATATGCCATTAAATGTATCTTTATTAATTTTATATTTATGTATTATTTTAAAGGCTTTTCCCCTTATTACTTTAGCCTAATATCTGGTAGAGAAATTGAGAAAAAAAACTATTATGATCATTTACATAAATTACCCATAGAGAAATTATACAAGGAGCAAATAACTCAAGATTTCCAAATAAGATACATACAAATTATTTTTATATTTACTGGCTAAATTTACATTGCCTTTCTTCTGAAAGCAAAAAGCACCATACATAGTTTTTTTTTTTAAAAAAAAATTTCAACACTACCACAATCCTGTAGGAGTGCAGACACATGACGATGGGTTTAATTATCCCAAGTAATCTTTCATTGAAGAAAATAGACCTGCATCAGTTTTGGTCTACTCCTAGGCAATGTTTTTGATCACTGCATAAGTTAACACAACTGAAAAGAGGAAAGAAGGAAAAATGTGAAGATGATAGTTCGTTATTTAGAACAGAAATAAATGACAAGAGTGTGCTCTAATATCCCCATCTTACAATTCTGTTTTCCGTGCTCTGACTCTCTGTTCATTCTGTCCATCCTTGATATTTTTTATATATTTTTTTATTTTCACCACATATCAAAATGCCTCCTCCAAAATTTTATCTAACCAAATTTCCCTTCTCTGTTTTCTTGCAGCTGCCAACTTTGTCATAAATGAAACATGGAGAATCAAACCACAATGTCTTATTTTCTGCTGCTGGAATTCTCAAAAAATCGGCATTTGCAGCTTTTGCATTTCTTCTTCTTCTTTGTGTTATATCTGGCAACTATAACAACAAATTTTCTCATCATCTCTGCAGTAGCTTTTGATCATCGACTGCACAGCCCCATGTATTTCTTTCTCATGAATTTAGCTCTGCAGGATCTGGGCTCTGTTTCAGTCATTGTGCCCAAATCAATGATAAATTATATCATGGACACCAGACGCATTTCTTACTTTGGTTGTGTTGCTCAAATCTTTTTCTTTCTATCCTTTGGAGCTTCTGATTTCTCCCTCCTGACTGTCATGGCATATGATCGGTATGTTGCCATTTGCCATTCATTGCATTATGAGATGGTGATGAATTGGAAATACTGTATTGAAATAATAATTCTAATATGGGTTACCGGTCTCTTCTATGGAATGTTGCATACCATTAGTACTTTTTCTGTTCTGTTTTGTTCTAATGTGGTCAGCCAATTCTTCTGTGAAATTCCACAATTGCTAAAACTATCCTGCTCTGGATTAAATCTTCTTGAAGTTGGAATTGTTGTATCCAGTATTATTGTTGGAGTAGGTTGTTTTATTTTTATAGTTGTATCTTATGCAGTGATATTCATGGCAGTGTTAAGAATTCCTTCTGAACAAGGAAGGCAAAAAGCTTTATCCACCTGTATTCCCCATCTTACAGTAGTGTCAATGTTTTTATTAACTGGATGCTTTGCCTATCTGAAACCTTCCTCTAACACTCCATCTTACATAGATTTGGGGTTGACTGTTCTGTATGCCCTCCTTCCACCTCTGTTCAATCCAATCATCTATAGCATGAGAAATAAGAACATCAAATGTGTCCTTTCTCAACTGTGGAGATTGTGACAAATTCTTTTAATGTTCATCATATTCAGCATCATTTTCCTGTCTTTTCTTTTTATTTTGTGAATAAATATGGTAAAAAGGTATAGTTGGGATGGAGGCAAATCTAATCTCTCAAACTGAACAACATATCACTCCGTATATTGCTTAATTAATATCTTGCATCTCTAATTACTGTCCATGCACTTTACAGATGCTAAACATGGATTCTTGGGAGCTCCGGCATTTTACATGCTAACAATTCCTTATGTTTAGTGAAGTGAGTACCAGGGTGTAATCCGATTGGGGAAACACTTGAAATGCAGAGAAGGTTTAAATGATGTGTTCTATTTTTCTCTGTGCTTTCCTGTATGAAATGGCTTCCCCCTAATGCTGGCCCCTTTAATGCTGGGCTCATTAAGGCTTTAAGAAGAGGCTGGATTTCTGCTTGAATAAGGGGTTCAACTAGAAGATGTCCAAGGTCCACTATTCCAATCGATTTATTGATTGGTCCATAATATGGCCAGCTAAAACTTCAGATTTTCCAAAGTATATAGGCCTCTATAACATTTCCCTCCTGAAATGGTTATTTCCTCACAAACTTTGATATTTTGCTCCTTTCAGTGAGCCTAAAGTCCTGGCAATTGTGTCCCTATATTTTTCCTGGCAACACTTTTTTTCAGAAGGGTTTGCCATTGCTTCCATTCAAGGACTGAGAGAGAGGGACTGGCCCAAAGTCATACAGCTGACTACATTCCTAAGGTGAAATAGAAATTCCAGTCTTCTCCAGCATGATTGGATGGAGAACCCACGGATGGGTTGTCTTAATCTATCTGCTCCAATTAGACTAAGTCTGAAATTTAGTACCGCCCCCTCTGTGCCAACTGCACCCCAGTTTTAGACTTAGTCTCTTTGCCCCAAGACGCGTTTTGTCTTCGCTCCTGGAGCAGAAGACTGTTTAATTCTATTTAATTACTTAGCTCAGGCTATTATTATTATTTGTTATTTTATTATTGATTCAGAATCGATTATATCTAGAAGAAAGATCAATTATCCCAGTCTGAAGCCTATTCAGGCTGACAGACTCACAATCCTCTCCCTCTGGGGGGGAGGAAACTTTTCCCTTCTTTGTTTTCCTCAGTTAGGGACAGCAAGATCAAACCTTTGATTTAGGTCGTTTTCAGAGCCTCATCAAGCCTGGAGGGAGCCTTCCCAGGTCCCTCGGCCCCAGCAGAGAGCAGCAGGTGAGAATTTGGGCGCGGCCCAATTTTCGGAGCCGGGAGGGCCTGTCAGGCCTTGGACGACAGCTTTTCCAGCCGGCCTAATCGAAGGGTTTGCCATTGCTTCCATTCAAGGACTGAGAGAGAGGGACTGGCCCAAAGTCATACAGCTGACTACATTCCTAAGGTGAAATAGAAATTCCAGTCTTCTCTTCTCTTCTCTTCTCTTCTCTTCTCTTCTCTTCTCTTCTCTTCTCTTCTCTTCTCTTCTCTTCTCTTCTCTTCTCTTCTCTTCCCTTCCCTTCCCTTCCCTTCCCTTCCCTTCCCTTCTCTTCCCTTCCCTTCCACTCCACTCCACTCCACTCCATTCTCCTTCTCTCCTTCAAAGCATCTGATTTCTCCCTCTTGACAGCCTGGCACATGATTGATATGTTGCCATTTGCAATCTGCTGCACTATGAGATTGTGATGACTTGGAAAGCAGCACTGAAATAACAACTCTAGTGTGAGTTATACGAATTCTTTATACAATGTTGCATGTAACAGGCAAGTTTTTCTTTTACACCTTTTTGTTCTAATGTTGTCAATAAATTTTTCTGTGATAGTCCACAACTACTAAAGTTATGTTGCTCTAGTTTCAATCTATTAGAGGTTGGAGTACTTGTGATCAGTGTCATTGCTGGATTAGGCTGTTTTACTTTCATTATATCTTATTCTATGATCTTCAAGGCAGTTTTAAAAATCTCTTCTAAACAAAGTAGGCAAAAAGCTTATCCACTTGTCTTCCTCACTTTATTGTAGTGTCTATGTTAGTATTAACTGGGAGTTTTGCCTATTTAAGATCTTCCTCTAATACTCCCTCTTACTTAGATTTTGGTTTGAATATTTTGTATTCCCTCTTCCCACCCCTATTAAATCCAATCATCTATAGCAGTGGTGACGAACCTGTGGCACGGGTGCCAGAGGCGGCACTCAGAGCCCTCTCTGTGGGCACGTGCACCGTGACCCCAGTCCTAGGCCTTCAGCTGCGTTTTATAAAACCTTTTCGCTTTAGGCCTCTGCTGCCCTGTCCCCCCCCAAAAAAAAGGTTCAATCAATCAGTCAATTTCAACTTCTCACAGAGAAAAAAAAAAGATCTTGCAAAGTTGGAATTGATTGATTGAATTTTTTCATCCCACCAAGTCTGCCATTACCACTGCAGCCATGCCCATCCAATGGGCCACACCAACCCAACTGACCACACCCAGCCAATGGGCCACACCCATCCGGCACCTGACAATGCATAAGGGGGTTTTGGGTTGCAGTTGGGCACTCGGTCTCTAAAAGGTTTGCCATCACTGAGCTATAGCATGAGAAATAGGAATATAAAATGTCTCCTTTCTAAACTAGGAGGTATTTTTAATGTCGTTTTATGTTCTGGTGATTACAATTTTGCATTTTCCAGAATATTTCTTTAATTTTAAGTTAAATAAATTAAAAAGGGAGACATACAGTAGTTGGGATGCAGGTACATCCAACCTTTTAATACAGAAGAATTACAGAGCTCAGGAAGTTAATCAGCTAACATTTTGCATCTCTAATTATTTTAATGCACTTTAAATATACTAAGTTTGGTTGACTGGCAGCCTATGATTTGTCACAGAATGAACACTCTTGATTTTTGGTGAATTGAGTACCAGGATTTAGTGCAATTGTCAGAAAAAAAAGTGTAATTGCGAAGTCATTTAAATTATGTGGCTTATTTTCCCCTGAGCTTTTTGTATAAAATGGCTTCCACTAAAATACTTGCACATAATATGACTAGTTAAGGCTTAAGGTTTTCCAAGAGTTTTCTCTTTAAATGGTCATTTGCTCATATAGTTTGATATTTTGCTCTTTTTGTCAGTCTTAACTCTTTCCAACTGCCCGGAAAAGGCACCACATTTTCTTGTCAAGGTTTTTCAGAAGGGGGTTGCCATTACCTCCTTCCAGTGGCTGTGAGAGTAAGTGGCAGGCCCAAAGTCACTGATCTTGTTTTATTCCTACAGTAGAAACAGACATCAAGTTCTTGTGGTTTCTAGTATGGTTCCTTATGTGCCACATAAGGTTTTCATTTAGTTTAGTTCAATTAATTTTTTTTCCCTCTTAGAAGTGCTTTGGCAAAACCAGGCACTTGGTAGGATGGGCAGGATGGGTGAGCTGGTACTATCTACTGTAACTTTTTTATGACACAACAACATGAAAAAGCAAGGAATCCATGTCATAATTGTAATAGAACATCGTATAATCTTATAGTAACCATGTAACTCGATGTCTATTGGAAGAGATAGGAAATACTCTATTGTCTAATACCTAAAGAAACAAATCTAAATAGATGTACATCAGAGTGATATGAAAAATGATTTCACCTGAGCAGCTGAAACTAAAAGCTATAAAAAGCCTTACTGAGGGAGACATGTGATGCAGGCACATGTGCATGATCACAGCATGATTGTGTAAGTGGGGGGAGCCCGTGCCCTCCACTCATGCAAATGAAGCTTCACCCGTGAGTGGAGGGTGCATGAAGCTCCTCTTGGGTAATCAGCAGGAACTTGCACTCACGTATGAAACTTCACTCTCCTGTGGCCCAGTTTCAAACAGGCCACCATCTGTCCAAATACATTTTAAAATGTATTTCATGTAAATGCACATTAAATTTATATTTAAATAAAGATAGGACAAACACTTTGTGGGTCAGTATAAGTGTACTTTCGAGAGATGCCATATGCATACTACAATAGCCAAGGCAATATCAGTATCTTTTGTTGAGAGTGAGGGGCTTTCAGCTAAAAATATATGATATTTTCGCCTATATTTATACTTCTGTACTGAATGTTTCCTTCCTGTATTCTTCCCTTATTTGTGGATATTTCTTGTCCACATTATACTTTGCAGCTATAGTTACTACTTTCTGTGTTTTACTCAATAAAGTCTATAAACATTTACTTAATTTGTGTGGATATTACTTTCTTATTTGTGAACATCATATAAGAAACAGACAAATTCTTCAAGAGTCCTTCTAATGCCTGCTGCGTTTGGAGATAACTAGGACTCCAAGATGGGAATCAAATGTCTGAGACATATATAGAGAACAAGAACTTTAAAGTTATGTAAAGATTCCCCATCTCCTTTATTCATCAAGCAAGAGGGAAATATATGATCATTTGCATTAGCACTACTCTGTTTCATACTCTGCCAAGTTATGGTATATGATTACACATGCTATATCATGAAATCTTATTCTGAATTTGGGGAGATCAGCTTTTTGTGATAGTTCAGCCAAGAAATCAGCTCATGAATGAAGGCAAGTATATGTGTCCCAGATAATGATGCGAAGTTGAATCTAGATCTGTCACTGGGACCAGAGATTTACTCTTCCGAGCTTTTGGACTCATACATGAGAATCTTCAGGGAATTTCTCTAATTTCTGATCCCCAATATCAGGAGTCATTGCAAAAACTTTCCTGTGTGAACTAGAACACCTTGAATTTCCAAACTACTACTACTACTACTACTACTACTACTACTACTACTACTACTACTACTTCTTCTTCGTCTTCTTCGTCGTCTTCTTCTTCTTTTTTCTTCTTCTGGACATTGGAGATCATGCTGGCGATCCTGTTTTTATCAGCAGCCACACGAAAAAGTACTGCTGAATTTTGTCCAAACAAGTCCCTTAGATTTTGAAGCCATGATGTTATTTTTCTGCCTGGACTTCATTTTCCTTCAATCTTTCCTTGGAGGATTAAATGGAGTATGCCGTATTTTTCTAGGTGTCGTATCACAT